GGGAGTGCCCACGCAGGGGACAAGTACTGGGGAGGGCACTCCTTCCCCATGGCTGCCTGTGGCCTTGCTGGCTGCCTCTCCTCCTCCTGCCTTCCCCTGCCAGACTCCTTCCAAGCGTGTTTTCCTTGCGCTGCTGACAGCCCTGGCTATGACAAAGAGAGCAAACTGCAGTGCAGAGCACCTGTGAGGCTGCAGGTCCCTCCTTGGTGCTCTGCAGCACACGGGGTCAGGCTCAGCTGTGGGCACAGGGCTGGGGAGGGCAGGGCAAAACCGGGAGAGCAGGGCACAGACCCCTCACCTGAGCAAACCAACCATGGTACCTGCACTGATCCTGCACCTGCAGCCAGAGTTGAGCCTGGTGTTCCCAGGTTGTCCTGACCCCAGCACAGGTACTGCCCCATCTGAGCCCTTTGTCTGCTGGTAGGGTCAGGGCTGGGGAGGTTTCAAAGAGACCCCATCACCCACCGCTGCCCCTTCCCTGTGCCCAGGGGTTGCCACCTGCAGACCAGCTGCCAGCTGTGGCTGTGCCATTTGTGGACTGTGAAGCTGGAGAGCTCTGGGGAGGGACAGGCACTTGGGCCATGAGTCTAGGTGTGGTGGCTCCAAGGAGGGCAGTGCCGTGGGGTCTCATTCGGTGAGTGACAGCCAGAACCCCTCTTGGCTGCAGAGGTGTCTCGCAACGACTCCTGCTCTGACCTGCCCGAGATCCAGAATGGCTGGAAAACCACGTCACACACAGAGCTGGTGAGAGGGGCCAAGATCACCTACCAGTGTGACCCAGGCTACGACATCGTGGGGAGCGACACCCTCACCTGCCAGTGGGACCTCAGCTGGAGCAGCGACCCCCCCTTCTGTGAAAAGAGTAAGTGCCCCAGCAAGGTGCTGCTGTCCTGGTCCCACACCCCCGTAATGGTGCTGGTCCTGCTGCCATGCCGGGGCTCCCTGCTCCAAGGGGACCCTCTGCTCACCCATCCTCTCCTCCCCAGTTATGTACTGCACAGACCCAGGGGAGGTGGAGCACTCGACCCGCCTCATCTCTGACCCAGTGCTGCTGGTGGGCACCACCATCCAGTACACCTGTAACCCTGGCTTCGTGCTGGAGGGCAGCTCCCTGCTCACCTGCTACAGCCGCGAGACTGGGACACCCATCTGGACCTCACGGCTCCCGCACTGTGTCTGTGAGTTTGGGTTGTCTCTCCTGCTCTCCTGCAGTTCAGCTCCTCTTTGGGGGTCCCAGGGATTCCTTCCCTGAAGCTGGGACCTTTCCCAGCAGGGGGGTGGTGCAGAACTTTGAGCTACCTGGAAGCAGGATGGGGTGGGACTTCAGGTACTTCCCGCTGCCCTCCAGGGTCTTTTTCTCCCTCAGTAGCCTAAGCCCTGAGCTAGCCCCATATTGTTTCGTTCCCTTTCAGCTGAGGAGTCACTGGCCTGTGATAATCCAGGACTGCCAGAAAATGGGTACCAAATTCTTTATAAGCGCCTCTACCTGCCAGGAGAGTCCCTGACCTTCATGTGCTATGAGGGCTTTGAACTCATGGGGGAGGTAACCATCAAATGCATCCTGGGCCAGCCATCCCACTGGAGCGGACCCCTGCCCATCTGCAAAGGTAACGTGGGGGGCCTGGGGGACTTGGGGATAGCTCATGCCTCTGTCTCCAACTTGGGAGAGCCCAGGGTCAGCCCTTGGTCTGGCTGCAGACCTTGGCAGGTCTCTGGCTGGGAGCTGAACTCATCTGAGACCTGGAGCTTCTCTGGCTTTGGGCTGAGTGAGCTCTGCTCGACCCAGCCCGCTCAGTCCTGGCCATGTACTTACAGACACCAAAAGTTTATTAAAATCTGGGAGTTCACAGTGTGGTTTGGGACCAAATGGGGCAGGAGACCCTGAGTCTGGGCTCCCCAGCAGCCAACCACTGCCAGTGCCCAGTCAAACCCAGCTACATACCAGTAATTCTCCATTTCTCTTCCAGTGAACCAAGACAGCTTTGAACACGCTCTGGAAGGTGAGCGATGCGGGTTTGCTGGATGTGCAGGGACCTGAGCCAGGGCCTGGTGGAGCCTGGGAGGAGGGAGAGAGGCAGAGAGGGGATCACACGATGCCTGCAAATGCCAACATAATAGATCTTGTCCTTTCAGTAGCAGAAGCTGCTGCAGAGACATCGCTTGAGGGTGGAAATATGGCCTTGGCTATATTCATCCCAGTGCTGATCATCTCCCTGCTGCTGGGAGGAGCGTACATCTATCTCACAAGGTGGGGATACAGTTGGGCTGGGGACCATCACAAAGCAGGGGGGACACAGCCAGGGCTGGCTCAGCATTGCTGTGCCCTTGCCAGCTGCACACCCTGGGCATGGTCCTCGGGAGTGCTTCGGGGCCCTTGGGGTGCTGGTGGGGGGCTGGGATGGGGGAATTGGCAGATGGGGCTGGTCATGTTCTGCTCCGGGGTTGGTCCGTGCAGCCCAGTGACTCCAGCATCTCCCACAGGTGTCGGTACTACTCCAGCCTCCGCCTGCCACTCATGTACTCCCACCCCTACAGCCAGATCACAGTAGAAACAGAGTTCGACAACCCGATTTATGAGACAGGGGTGAGTCCTTCTGCACCTGTCCTCCTTGGGGACCCTCCTGAGGGGTTTGGCTGGGTGGGCAGCCATGGGATGAGTCCAGCCACACTGCTGTGGGAGTGCTGAGTAGCAGGGCAGGAGTCTGTCCGTGTTGGTCACTCACCAGGAGCTGGGTCAGTGGCGCAGAGGGTGAAGGGTCCTAACTGGGAAGGCATCACTCCCCTGAGGACAAAACAACACCCAGGATCTTTCTTGCTGCCTGGGAATGGGGAGATGATCTTGAAATGCAGCTGCTGCCCTCAACTGGCTTTTCCTTCCTTTCAGGAAACACGAGAATACGAGGTTTCGATATAAGGACAGCGGTAAGAGAGTCTCCGGCTGTGAACTTAATGTGCTCTCATAGAACTTCCTCAGTAACTAATCCAGAGGCCACGTGGAGTTTGGTTGGACCCCCGGACCTGCTGTTGTCTTTCCTTTTGCCTCTTTATTGAAGATTTTACTGTTTTCTTCACTGTATTTATTCTATTTAAACTGCGATAGGTGTGCTGCCAAGCCCTGGGCACAGGCAGCAGCGGGAGCCGGGGCAGAGCTGGGTCCTGGTGAGGCCTGGGGGGCACGGGGGCACCTGCTGTGTCCCCCTCCATGGCAGTGTGTCCCCTGGTACTGCCCACACATGCAGAGGGATTTTTGCGGTTCTGGTGTTGTTAAAAATTAAAGATGTCTCCATTGCAAGAGCCTGCGGTTGATTGCTGGGAGCTGAGGTAGCGCAGGGTCCCCTGCAGGGTTCCCATCCTGCAGCTCCCAGCTCCCCAGGTAGGACCCTCACCCAGGGGTTCGGGTGGCACTGGTGCAGGGATCATCCTTGCTGCAGGGCTCAGGAAAGCTGTCATCCAGGGAGCCAGGACAGCCTGGCACTCGTGAGGCACACGCTGCGTTCTTGTCCCACTTTGCGTTGGATGTGGAGAGGCAGTGAGCCAGGACTCATGGGGTGATGCTCTGCGGAGAAGCACCAAGCAGTGACCCCCGGCTGCCGGCCCAACAGGGTGGGCAGCCCTGGAAGCTGCCCTGCAGCGAGCGGAGCTCTGCAGCCGGTGCCTCTGCTCATACCAGTTGTTCCTCTCAGCAGCACCTCCAGTCACCCTGCCAGGAACACCCTGACCCAGTAATGGCCTGAGGCCACCCCTTGCCCCCCTGGCAGCATCTCAGGGTAAGCAGGATGGGCTGGGCTCCCTGTCACCGCTCCTTCCACTGCAGGAGGGTCTGCGGCCGACCCCGGCGTCCAGAGCTGGAGTAGCACATCCCACCCAGCACCTCCCGGATCAGCACCTGGCTGGGTCTCACAGTTGGGCAGGAGATGGAGAGGGGCAGGGAATGAAGATGGAGGTATATTGGGGATGGAAGGCAGATGGGATGTGTGGGGGCTCTGACACAGGAGACCAGCCCGGGGGGAGCAGAACAGCCCCTCAGAGCTGGTCCTGAATCCCAGTTCCACCCTTGGCATGCCCTGTGCTCCTCCATCACCTCTGCCAGAGCCAGGCACTGGCAGGGCCACGGTGTCTGCAGGGACACAGACCCCAAAAGGACACCCTGTCCCTGTGCCCCCTATGCCACAGCCCCCAGCCAGCCCCTGGGGAGGGCAGTGAAGCCACCACCACATCCTTGGCTGCCAGTGTCCTTCTTTTGTCCTTGTAGAACAATCACAATCGCGGGAGGCTGGGTTAGCTTGGGGTGGTAGTGCAGCTCTGCAGTGTACAGCTGGGATTTGGGGTTTTTCCTTTAAAAACAACGAATGTGTGTTTGTAATTTGTAAAGGTTAAAAGAAAAAAAAAGAGAAAAAAAAAGAAAAAAAATGTGCCAAAAATGTACGAAGCATTTCATTTCCCTTCATACATGTCTGTTTTTATAAGAACAATGTGAAAATTGCTGGGATTAAATATTTTTGAACATGATAAAGTAGTTCCGTGGGAAACTCTAGCGTTCAGTATAACCTCGATACCAATTGTTCTGTGTTTTTAAATGTCTGAAATCAGTTTGCAGAGACTCGGGCCGCAGGCTGCAGCGGTGCAGGGGAGAGTGAGGGCCGGGCATGCTGCGTGCCCTCCTGTGAGATGGTGGCCTGATGCCACTGGCTTGGCTCTGAGTGCCAGATCCTGCCCTGGTGCAGCCCCATAGTGCCCCTGCTCCTGTGGGATGGAGGTACCTAAGCCCTGCTGGGACACGGAGTGAGCTGGCACAACCTTGGGGACATCTCCCCCCAGCACACCGTGGGGGAGCCAGCGCTGGCTCCCCCTGCACCCTCTGAACTCAGCATTGCCCGAGGCACTTGGGACCCCACAGGAGACTTGTGGCCCTGTTACGGAGGACATGCAGAAGGTTTGGAGGAGCCCTGTTAGCCCATTCCCTCTGGGCAGGGGGTTTGTGGGGATCCATCCTGCGGGTGCCCTGCTCACCCATCAGCTGCCCAACTACCCGTGGCTGTCACCTGGCAGCTCCTATGGCTGGGGCAGGACAGCTTTCCAAAACCACAGGGAGAACATGGTGGGATGGGGGGGGGCTGCTTGGCCTGCCCCCCTCCATACAGCTTCAGACCAGCTGCATCCCATAGGCATGGCTCAGGGAAGATGCCAGGGCTCGGTGGGAAAAGTCCCCCTGCTGCTCCCTGGGAGCCTCTCCGGGCTGAACTGCTCTGGTGGCTGTCGAGACAAACCTCCAGGAGGTTTCCCCCCAGCATCAGGTGTGGGTAGGACAGGGTCATGTGGGGGGACCCTGAGCACGGGACCCCCTGAGCATGGTCCTGCTCAGGAGTGTGGTGGCAGAAGGGTGGCTGTCACCTCGCCAAGGAGCAGGGCCACCGGGATACCCCAGCTGAAACAGTGTTTCCTGATGCTTGCAGAGTTCCTGGTGTCCCTGGAAGTGGGAAGGGAGGGGGATGGTCAGGGAAATGCCCTTTCCCAGGGCATCCACCCGTCCAAGGAATCCTGGGGTCTTCCATCCATCCCCGCACCTCCCTACACAAAACAATGCAACAACCTTGCCCTCTCTAAATGTGCTTTTAAACAAGGTTATGCTGTGACATCGATAATGGCTTTGCATAGCAGCTGCCAGGCTAATGCACAGGGGGCGAGGGAGCCAAAGCTCTGATGCAGAGCATTCCTGGGGGAGGGAGCTCGGGCTATTTTTGGACAGAGATTGCAAGAGAATTAAAGTGAAGGGAAAAAAACCCAAACCCTTGATGCTGCCGTTCCTCCTCGGTGACGTAAAGCCGGAGCCAATCTCTGGCCTCACGCGTTGTGCTGCAGATGAAGCTTTGTCTGGGCACAGCAGCCTCAGATACAACTCACCTCCCGCCCTGCACTGGGCCAAGCAGGGGACAGAGCGTGTCTGTGCCATGGCAGCCACTTGGCTGAGGGACCCCCGGGCTCAGGGGATGGAGCTGCAGGGACCCCTAAACTCCTTTCCAGCTGCACTGCAGGGTGGTGAGGCACAGCATCCCTGCCCGCTCTGGGGGAGGCACAGCATCCCTGCCCAGCCTAGAAGAGCTGGGAAAAGCCCTGGGATGCCCTTGGCACAGTTCTACCAGCAACACCCTGGCAGGAGCCCAGTACGTGGGCAGACTCCTGGCTCCAGTGGTTCCTTCTCCCTTTTCAAGAGATGTCCTCCTGGGGCAGACACTGCCCGTGTCCTCCCCTCAGCTGCTGCCAAAACTGCGCCTGTGTTCTGCCAGGGCTGGGATTTCCTGGAGTGCTTAGGCTGGAGATGGGAGAGTGCTCCTGGAGGGGCCCTCCCTGTGCCAAGGAATCACAGAATCGTGGAATGGTTTGGGTCGGAAAGCACCTTTAAAGACCATCCATATGCACCCCCTGCCGCAGGCAGGGACACCTTCCACTAGACCAGGTTGCTACAAACATCCAACCTGGCCCTGAACACTTCCAGGGATGGGGCAGCCACAGCTCCTCTGGGTAACCTGTGCCAGGGCCTCACCACCCTCACAGGGAAGAATTTCTTACTAATATCCAGTCAAAACCTATTCACAGTTTAAAGTCATTCCCTCTTTTCCTGTCATTCCAGGCCCTTGTCCCAAGTCCCTCTCCAGCTCTCTTGGAGCCCCAGAAGAAAGCCAGGGGCAGGTTGTCCCACAGGGAAGTGTTGAGTGGCAGAGCTGGGGACCAGGGCCGGGGGGGCCAGCGAGAACAGGGAGCAGAAGACAGAGGGAGGAGAAAAAGAACGAGAGAGGGCCCAGAGCTGAGGAGCCTGCGACTGCTGACAGAAGGATGTGTTGTCTGACAGGAGCAGGAGCTGCTGGCCGAGGATGGGGGTCTGGGAAGGAGCAGGATGAAATAAAGTCCCGCTCCTTTCACCCTGCAACACACAACGCTGCCAGGGTCCTGCAGCAGCAAACTGGGGTGGGGAATGTGCTGGTGGGAACATGGGGAAGCAGCAGGAGCAGGCAGGAGGCAAAAATGCGTCAGGACAGAAAACAAGGAGCAGCTTAGGTCTGCAACAGCAGGGGATGAGGTTGCTCAGAGGAAGCATACGCACACCTGAGGGGCTGAGCAGGGAAGTTCTAGTCCCACTTCCAGAGCCCAGCTCGAGCTGTGCCAGAGGAGGATGTGCAGGCACCGAATGGCCAAACCTGCAAAACAAGGCAGGGCTTTCCTTGTGCCAGGAGCAGTGACACGTGTCCCACGCAGTTCCACGTGGCACTGCAAGAGGGCAGGGCAGTGTGCTCTGCCTGCACCCCGGCTCTGCCTGCAGGTAGGGGAATGGAGGAGGGAGGGCTGGAGCACTGGGCCCCCTGGGGTCCTTGGATCTGACAGCAATGGCTGAAGTGAACAGGAAATGGGCTGGGGAGGAAAAAAGGAAGCAGGAAGGCTCACAACAGTTTCTCCACCAGCACTTCAAAATTGTTAAGGGACATCCCAGCCTGGGAACAGCTTCCCCGCATCCCAGGTGCCAGAGCACATCATCACATCCTCGCTGAGGTATTCCCTGGCTGCCTGCATCCTAAGCATTGCCTCCCTGGGAGTTCCTGTCCTCTGCATGCCAGGTGCACTCATCCTTGGGGACCAGCAACCCCTGCATCCCTAGAGCTGCAGCCCCAGGGGCCTGAATCTCTGGAGCCAGTACTTCCCGCATCCCTGAATCCCTGGGTGCTGCATCCCTGGAGCCAGCATCCTGCACATCCCAGCTGCTGCATCCCTAATAACCTGTGTCCCTGGAGTCAGTCCCTGCAGTCCCGTCCCTTGGGTGCCTGCATCCCTGTGTGCTCCCACCCCTGGGACCACCATCCCCGGGGCCAGCATCCTCTGCACTCTGACTGCTGCAAATCCCAGTGCCTCAATACTTGAAGCCAGAGTCCCTGCACGTCCCCTGCACCTCG